TATTACTGTATTAATCCTTTAAAATTTCTTTTTTTAAATAATTATTCGTTGTTGTTTGTTATTAATATGGATTCTAAGTATCTTTCATAAAAAATTCTATATTTAATCAAATCAACAATTAATCTTAGGTCACTTATTTAGTATAAAAATTTTATCTATTATATCATTCAATTTGTAACTTCATTCTTAATTTTTTTTTATACTCTAGACATTAATGTACAAATGATAAATAATTGCAATATTATTAATCAATTTTTGATGATTGAGTTGGCTCAATTATATTAAAAATGTTTAATTCAATTTAAATTAAACTTCTATTCAAAATTTTTGGTATTTTTTATAAGCATTTATATTGTATCTCTTTTAATTATATGTTACCCATTAAATAATTTGATAACTTCGTGAGTATTACATTTCTTCTATTATTACAATAATATACTCTTTAAATGAGGTATTGCTACTTAAGCTTTCACAATAGTAATTAAGTTTAAAAGTTCAATTAAACGGATGTTTCACTGAATTCATAACTATAATATCAAACAAAAAATGATTATTTAAAGCATAAAAGATATTTAGCGAATACTTGATAATAAAAATTAATAATGGATAACAAAAAGAAATGCCTTTTGGAAAAATTTGGGGGAGAATAGCATGTTTACGAACTCATGGATTAATTCTATTATTTAGTGATATTTGATAATCTACTTCGAGACAAATTTATGAAGGCAGATATGAGCAGAGTTCGAAGTCAATAAAAACAATTCTTTACTTAAATGATGGGTGATGGCAAAACCTAATACGTTGGAAGGTATTTTAGTTAATTAAATAATTATAGAGATTTAATCGAGGTCCACAAAAATCTTGGCATAACTAACCAATAATTTGATAAATTTAAAACACATCTCAAAAATATTGCATTAGATATGGAAGTACCTACGGAGAACATAGAGGAGCTACTTAAACTTAATGAAAAACATAGAGACGTCATTGTTTTTTAAAAATGATTTATGAAATTGATTATTCTAAACAAATACCTAAATATTTTTATCATATTAATCTAATGTATTTAGCAATTCTAAAATTCATCATTTATAAGGAAAATATAAATAAGCTGTAATAATTTGTACACGATTAAAAATTAATTAATCTCAAATATTAATAATATTAATTGGCAATTATGAGAAAAGAATATGGATATAATTCAAGCCTTTAAAATATAGATTAATTTAATAGTAATAATAATATAGATCAATAATCTGAATTCAATCAAACAAAGTTTTTTCTTTGAAAATAAATTTGCTTTAGCGCATATATATTACTTTTCAAATAAGTTAATTTAATATTTTTAATAAATTAATCTTATTTTAAAGATCAAATTCAATATAATAAGAGCATTAATGATATTTTTTTATTTAAGTTCCTTGTTCTGAATACTCTACTTCTGTATATTATAAGTTTTGGAGATTGGATTATGTATTTTATTTTGATGAGTTATTTTTTGTTTTCATTTGTACAAAACTATAGCTAAAATCTCGCCTTATTTAATGCAGCCTCTAGCTAAATAATAGAATAGATAATCTTTAGAATAATCTAATAAAAAAGAGTTTATGAGTTATAAGGAGAGTTCTTCTTTTATTGATTGAATAATTCAAATATCAAAGACATTATCAATAATTTATAAAATAACTCCAAAATGCACCCCAATATTGAATGACTTTTAACAAACTTTATCTTTAATGGTTATTAATTAAAAGATTCCTTATAGATTATTTGCAATTAAAGTTGCTGTCTTATAATAAGTTTTATCATGTATCATCCAATTAAATAGTTTTTAGAACATGTTAATCTCGTACATACAGGATTCCTCTTTTTGTATATATATATCATCATGCATTCAACTAGCCACATTCTACATTTCTATCACTGCCTCCTAGATTTTTTAGATTTGTGTTCGAGCTATTTTTATGAATCTGATTGGTATTAAGTATTTTTAATATTGGTTTAATGAGTTCCCTTTTTACTAAAGAAGTGATTAGTAGCATTATTTAATAAATCTATGTCTCCTTAAATCTATATTAAAAAATCACTCTATATTCTTATCTTATAGAATTATAGAAACAAGAAGTTGTTATCAAGTTCACTTTATTTTTTTTTGATTTACAAGGCTTTTCTCCTACTCATACGATTTATACATCTTTATAGTTGAGTTTTGCTTAAGTTTATGATAATTCAAAATTTATTCACACGGATAGTGAATAATAAAATTCTTGATGTGATCGGCTAAACTTTATAGGAAATGCTTAATTACCTTTTTTTGAAGGTTTGAGAGTATTACTTAAGAGTTTTGAAAAAGAAGTTTTCCCTAATGAATTTTTGTTTTAAAATAAATTATAAATGGATTTTTTAGTAATTCGATCATTTCCCTTGATCAAATCTGATAATAAATTATATGAATATTAAAACTAATTGATTTTCTATTTAATCTAATGATTGCTAAACGGTTAGAAAATTAATTTCAAATATCAGTTTTCTTTCTCGATTGTTATAATTTACTACTATTATTAATAGAATAATTTTTTTATAACAGTAATATAATTTAAAATATATATTCTTTTATAAACTTTTGTTATATATTCTAAAATGTACCAAATTCCTGAAAGAAATACCTTAAAGTCCTCATGCTACCACTAATTTAATTGCCATTAATTATCTTTTATCTAAATTTATTTTATCTGCTACACTTCCAAATGATGATTATCCAATAACTTATTGAAGACTTCAAAGAATTTGATACAGCTTATTTTGAATAAGATTAAAATTTTATTTCTATCGATGCAACTTAATTTATTTTCACAACAATAATCATCTTCACCTCTATATTTTGTAAATTTATTTTTTGCAACGCCTGAACTAAAACTTAGATTTATTCAACATCCAATTTATTTATAATAATATATTTTAATATATATTGATAAAACTTATAATATACATATTTTTAAAATTTTATAGAAAAATTTATTTAAGAAATAGCTGTTTATACCATTTTTATTTATATCATTCCTTTCTCAACTTTATTGAATTATTTAGATCAATGTTCTTATTTTTTAAATACATTTTAAAAGAAGATAATAAATTGAATAAATAAGCATTGCTATGGGTATAAACGCTATAAAAAAAATAGAAGAATATATTCCAATTAAACTCAAGTAAAATCCGAATATCAAAAAAAAATATAATTCAGTTTTTTCGATTTACTATTGTTTGTCATAATTATAATATAGTTTAAATTTAAAGTAACACAATATAAATATTCCCAGTGATGTAATAATATAAGAAATAGTAATTAGGTGAAGGAAGACATCCTCAGAATTTATTTCAAATTATGTAATATAGATTCTTAAACAAAATGGCATACCAATAAATATTCCAAAAATATATCCAATCAAAAAATAAGAGAATCCTCCTTTAAAATCCTAGTAATTATTTATTTACAAAAAGTATTTGGGCCAATTTTAACGAAAAAAATTATAATTACTTAATACTATTCTAATCATCTAATTTATATCTAAGAATATTAAAATCTCAATAAAAATGTCTAATAGATATTATTTTTCAAACTCATAAATACATTCATTCTTAAATTGAATAATGTAAGTTTAATTAATGGCAATTAATTTTAAATAAATATTCATGTAAGTTCTATTCTTCTGAATGAATTTTATCAGCATCAAACTATAAGTCCAAATGTTTAAAGAAAAATAAATAAAAGAATCAGAAATTTAAAGTAATCCACAATTCATATTAATTAAGCCAAATAGCAAAAGAAAAATATTTAAGGATGGACCTATTGTTGAATCAATATTCTGTAGTTAATCAAATGATAATTATCTTTTTGTCCATAACTTGTATACTGATTATAAAAAGAACTAGGTGATGTTAATAATTTATTACATTTATTAAATAATTATTTTTTTGAAAAATAAAATACTTTTAAAATTCAATCTTACCAAAATTGAACATGATTTTGAGCTTTTCTTATATATCAGAAACTTTATTTTTTTATAATTCCTTCAGAATGATTAGCACAACTATATAGAAATTATTTAAACTAAAATATATTTTATAGTTTATTATTGTTTTCAAAATTAAAAAATTGTACTAATCCTTCAATATCATAATAATTGTTTATGATAGCATTTTATTTTTAAATAACCCTACATTCCTTTGTTATAAATATTAACTTTAATATAAACCTAATTTAATAATATCCTATCATTTAAATTGATCATACAATAACAATCTCTTTAATAATTAATAGGATTCCATCTTTTTCATTCCATTTGAATTCAATAGAGTATTTTTCATAATTGATATTTCTTTCCATCCTTGAATGTTTTTTTTAAAGAATATAAATCAACAAATATTACATTTTTTAACAATAAATTGGAGATCTATGTTTGTGAATTACATAGATTAAATGACTTAATTTTTAAATAATTTACTTAAAAAATATTTATTATTTACTATTATCTAAAT